AGGCCTGTGGGCTTCAGTAGTTGAGGCACGTGGCCCCTAGAGCACGTGGGCTTCAGTAGTTGCGGCATGTGGGCTCAGTAGTTGTGGCTCACGGGCTCTAGGTCACAGGCTCAGTAGTTGTGGCACACGGGCTTAGTTGCTCCATGGCATGTGGGATCTTCCCTGACTGGGGATCGAACCCGTGTCCCCCGCACTGGCAGGCGGATTCTTAACCACTGCGCCACCAGGGAAGTCCATGGATCAACATTTAGAATGTTCCTTTCGTGTTTGTTCAGTATTCTAAGTAGCATTTCTGTGGATGTCCTTAAACATGGGTCTCCTTGGACGATGGCTGCGGAAGGGCAGTTCCAGCCCGTGGGATGCCTGCTGCTGGTGCTGTGGTGTCGCCCACGTCACACTGACACAAGGTCCTTTAGACCTGTGCATGAGCTTAGACATCCTTTCTTTTCTTTTTTTTTTTTTTTTTTTGACTTTTAAAAATAGTTTATTTCAAAATAATTATGGATTCACAGGAAATTTCAAAGATAGTACAGAGAGGGCTCATGAACCCTTCAGTGTTTACCCCATGTCTACATCTTCTAGAACTATTGTACAATATCGAACTCAGGAAATATGTGTTGATGAGATATGTATGTATAATTCTGTGTCATTTTATCACATGTATAAATTCATGTACAGCTGCCCACCCTTACCGTGGATTTACTTTCCAGGGTTTCAGTTACCCACGGTCAACCTCAGAAAGCTTAGACCTCCTTTTTTGCAACCATCCTTAAGCTGAGCACTTGCCTCTCGTCAGCACGGAGGAGAGGTGGGTTTCTACAGGAGGATTCGAATTGTGTTCTACCCATCTCTTTTTTCTGGTTTCTGGGATGTGTAGGCACGTTTTTAAAATGCCTTCTCCATCTTAAGAGTGAAAAAATATTCTCCCGCGTTAGGTAGAGCAAATCTCTGGAGCGTGCATCTTGCAGACAAGGACCAAAGCTGAAGGAGTCAGCTTCACTTTTCCCAGCTAGCTGAGCGGCTGCCTCAGCACCGTTGTCTGTGAAATCCTTCCCCAACCCGACTGGAGGTGACATCTGTAAAGGGAACCCCAGGGCTGAGTACCTAAAGCAGTGCCTCGTGCCCAGCAAGCCCCCGAGCGTTCTCTCGTGGCTGAGCAGCGGGTGGGCGCCGTCCCGGGATGCGTCTGCATCCTCCCTGGCTGAACTGGCCGAACTACGTCTTCCTTGGTCTGGCCGCGGCGCCCAGCTGGGCGGTGTGGTGGCAGCCGGCCGCCCTGCCGGAGGCACTGAGGCAGGGCCGGAGGCTGGCGGGGCGGCCCCGTGTGCGGGCGCGACAGGAGACGTCACAGGAGCGTGCCCTCCGCTGCCGCGTCCAGGACCTCTCCCGTCCGCCAGCTCCTTGCACGGGTGTGCGCCTCGTGGCCACGGCGACCATTGGCCCCACCTGTCGTCGTGGCTCTTTGAAGACCTGCGAGCGTAACTGCTTCACAAGTGCCCTCACCCGCAGAAGCAGGGTGGGGTGTCGAGCTGGACTGAAACGGGGCTGCCCTGTGCACCGCAGCTGGAGGCGGGGCCCTGGCCTGTTACTGTCCCCAGGAGCCGTGGTGTCACAGCCGAGTGAACAGCGAAGGGAGGGGCGTGAAGGCCCCTGCTTAGATGTCCCTGAGGTGCCGGCCTTGCCCTTTCTGCCACTGCAGACGCCGTCCCGGCGGCCCTGGGCCCGTGGGTGAAGTGACTGTGACCAGGCCTGGGAGGCTGGCGGCTGCACAGCGGTCGAGGAGCAGGAGGGCCCCGCCCCCGTTTCCCTCGGGAGCAGCTGGTGGACGGCCTCCCAGGCTGGGCTGTTGCCAGCACGGAGACCAGCACCCGAGCCTCTGCTTCGGAGCCCGCCGCTGGCCTTTCGTCGCTGGCGGGTAGTTGACAGCATTTTTCGGGGACAGTTCCCTCAGTGAACTGACAGCAGCTCCTGACACGTGGGCGGGGTCGGCGTCACCAGTACCAGACGAGCAAGTGCCGGGAGTTCTCGCAGACAGTGTTCGGTGTTCATTCTCAACGCCGTGGGGTAGGTACAACTGGCCCCCTTTACGGCTGAGAAAGCATCCACGGGGGGAGGGTAACCACCCGCCTAGGTCTCACGCCTCGTGAACGGTGGAGCCCATCCCAAAGCCTCCATCTGGCCAAAATGCCACTTGGAAAGGGGGCTTGGGGGGGGGGGAGGGGAGGTGTTGAGCAGCCGCCTCTGCCCCTCCGTCTCTTTCTAGTCCTCGTGAGTTACGTAATCGTAAGGGCGTCATCTCCAGGAGTCCAGACTGAGACAGGATGCCGGGGTGGGGGGGGGGGGTGACTCCTGGCTCTGCCACCCGCTGGCCGTGCGCTCCTGGGCGAGTGTCCACGCCCCGGTGTCCTCGGCTGTCAGTGGAGATCACGACAGGACCTCTTGTCAGGGTTGGCTGTAAAGATGAAACAGCGCAGCCGCACGGGCTAGAGTGAGCGTCAAGACCCCTCCCGGAAGCCGCCGTGCCCAGCCCTGTGGCTCAGGAAGATCACAGCTTCTGCAGGCTGCCCCTCGCTTCCTCCCCTCCCCTCCCTCCAGCCAGTGGCAGCAAAGCCCTGGGCTCAGGGTCAGGCCCTGCAGAGGCCTGTGGCCCTGGGCGCTCACCGCGGTCACGTGGCCATCAGGTGGCCTGCTCAGTCCTACCCGGTCACTCTCACGAGATCACACTGTCCCTCCTGGTGGGGGCCGGGGCCGCAGCAGAACCAAGTGTGCCCATCGGAGTGGAGCCAGGGTGGCAAGAGGGCCCTGACCCTGCGGCAAAGCAGCAGCTGGGACCCGGCCAACACTTGTCTCCCTGGGGGACAGGCACGTGGCCGGCTGCAGCTCACACTGGGCTGGCCACTTCATGTCACAGTCCAGGGGACCCAGAGCTGGGGAGGCCTGTGTGGGAGGGACAGAGGAGGCCTCACCCTCTGGCCTGCCATCCCAACAGGCCCTGGCTCCCCTGAACCCCAGCCTCGGTCGCAGAGGGGGACTGGGGAGGGGGCAGAGGAGGGCACGCTGACCGCTGGGCCTCTCAAAGGAAGAGGCCGGCCTACCTGAGCAGGGCCCCTTCCTCCCCGCTGCTTTTTTTTCTTTTTTTTTTTTTTTGGTACACGGACCTCTCACTGCTGTGGCCTCTCCCGTTGCGGAGCACAGGCTCCGGACGCGCAGGCTCAGCGGCCATGGCTCACGGGCCCAGCCGCTCCGCGGCATGTGGGATCCTCCCGGACCGGGGCACGAACCCGTGTCTCCTGCATCGGCAGGCGGACTCTCAACCACTGCGCCACCAGGGAAGCCCCTTCCCCGCTTCTTGTTGCCCACCTGAGGAGGTGCGAAGTGACCTCGGCCAGCCGTGTGACCCTGAGCTTGTCACTCTCCGCCAACTGGTGAAGGGCAGGTAAAGCTGCCTCCCCTCCCCTCCCCTCGCACGCATGCGCTTCTCTCTGTCCCCGAGCCAGTGCGCGCCGGGGCTGGGACGGGTGGAGGAGACCAGGCCCGCGTCAGGAGCTCCTGCTCTGACCCGCCGCCGTGGCCAGAGCAGACCTGCCACGGGCCCGCCCCCTCCGTTCCCTCGCTCGGGAAGTCCAGGGGCCCGGCCAGGAGCACCGCCAGCCGGGGTGAGCAGGCCTGGGCTGTCACTCCCAGGTCGGGCCACCTACCGTCGTGTGGCCTCCGTGCTCCCGCGCCCCTGCCCCTGCACCGTCAGACCCTCGGCAGAGGGAAGAGCCCCCGGAGGAGCCTGGGCTGACTGCAGCACCGCGGGCTCGGGGTCCCCTCGAGGACACACGGAGGCCTGGGGGCCGCAGGCCGCGAGCCCCAGGGCGACAGCTGGGAGGCCAGCTTCAGGGCGCTTCCTCCCTTTACCGAAGAGGGACCCTGGACCCTGTGCCGAAAACCCCAGGCTCACTGAGGGCCTCGAGCACATCCTGGCCCCTCTGGGCCTGACTCTCAGCTCTTCTCCTCCCAGCCCCGGGGGCACCTCCTGTGGTCCTACTCAGGGCCCAATTCCTGCCGGTCACAGATGTCAGGTGTGACCACGGCGTCCTCCCACACACCAGAAGCTGCGAGCCAGCGATGGGCAGCAGCCCCCTCCGCGGCTCCCCCTCTGGGCTCACGTGCGCCCCCGGCGTCCCTGTAGCCTGCAGCGATCGCTCGCAGACCCCAGGACTACTCAGAGGGGTTGGGGACCCTTCGGGAGGCACACTCACAGTGGTGGGCCCTGGCTCTTAGCAGCAGTGCTGCACTGCTCTGGTCACCACCCCTCACACTCACCTGGGCCTGTCTCCGTGCCCCAGCCTTGGGAGCCTGAAATTGCATGGCACTCAGTCCCGCTGGCAGCCCCACCTCCCCCCAGTAAGGCCCTACCGGGGGTGCTGGGTGAGCCTGGCCTCTCTGCCAGCAGCTGTTGGTAGGGTCTCAGGTGGTCTCCTGGGACCCTCACTTCCCCAGGCCCACTCCCCCACTGGGCATCCCCCTCCTGAGCTTGGGAGGAAGTGGGGAGACCTGAGCCTCTGGGTCATGTCCTCATGCTGAACTCGGGTCCCCCGCTCAGAAACGCTTCTCCCAGGCTTGGTGCCATTGTGCTGGGAGGGTGTTTTGTTACCTGGACGAGGTTGGAGAACAGTGGAGCCTTGGAGTCTACACCTTGACCTTACTGAGCCGTCACGTGGAAGTAGGGACAGCAGTTTGGGGCCTTTTGGGGGCCAGCGTGTCTTCATGTTGGCATTAAGCTACTAATTGGGAAGAAAAGGAGGTCTCTGGGCCTTGGTCGCAAAAAATAGGGTTTGGAAACATTCATTCATTCAACAAACACATGTTAAGAGCCTACTAATGTGCCAGGCCCTCAACCTGATGTTGGTATGAATCTTTTTTTTTTTAACATCTTTATTGGAGTATAATTGCTTTACAATGGTGTGTTAGTTTCTGCTTTATAACAATGGTATGAATTTTATTTTTCTAAGTCAGTAAACCTCCCTCAGCCCTAGCTGTCTGGTGATAAAGATACCACAATTTCCTCTTTCGTCTCTCGTCGATAAACTTCGGAGGGTCTCTGCAGCCTGCCTGAGCTCTGGCCCTCTGAAGTTTTCAGCAGTTTGAAGGAAAGCGGTGAAGCCCCCCGAGCCCAGGCAGCCCCCTTCCTTAGAAGGCTGGCTCTTCTTATCTTGCCCCCAGATAGCCCCACCTCACTCAGGGGCCTCGGAAGTCAGCAGGCCAGGGGTGCAGGGTGACGCATGCGGGGCCCAGCTCTGTCCCGAACAGCTGGGTGGCCTTTGCAAGGCCACGTGATATCCCTGGCAGGGCAGGGGGAGGAAGGCGGTGCAGTCGTCAGTTTCACACACTCCAAGGGCATACATGCAGCCCTTCCTGTGGAATGAGTTACCCATTTCATCTGGAAGAAACATACTGGGGTCCGTTTCCACCCCGTCACTCTGCAGATTGGCCGTGAACAGCGTGGTTTCCTTCCTGGCAGTGAGCGCTCTCCAGTGCGCTGCAGATGACAGAAAGCACAGGAGACCAAGGCCCGCCACGGGGAGCTCTGACGGCGTGTGGAGTGGAGCTCTCCGCCACACTTTCTGGGGCCCACCTTTTCCCAGCCCCGGGGAGGTGGCTGCCTGGGGCCACCTGGAAGAAGCCCGGGCCGAGGCCGTCCTGCACGGCTCCTCATGAGCTCCGGCCCCCTTTGGCAAGCAAGCCGGTCACCCTCTCCAAGCCTCGGTTTTCTCATGTGAAAGCTGAAAAGGTGAAACCCACTCCCCACTGTTAAAAGCAATAACGTGCCTGCACACATGGGTGCTGGACAGGGGTTAACCGCCTCCTTAGTGCCCACCGAGAGCAGCTGGTCAAGCCATAGCAGAAGTCTCCTGTTAGTGTATCAGAATCCGAGTTCGGTGTCCCAGTTGGGTTTGGCTGGGGTGGGGACAGTGATGTGGGAAAAGATGGGGAGACAGATGTGGGAGGGGCTTGAGAGGGTTTGGGTCTCCTTCTGGAGGTGGCAGGAGGCCTGAAGGGGTGTGAGCCGGGCCACCCTTTGTGTCATGGGTGAGCTGTGGTCTCTGAGGTTGGGGAGGGATGCTAGAAACAGCTGATGCACAGCAGAGAACCCTTTAGAACTTTTGTAGCTCTTAAAAGAAGATCACAGGGCCTTTCCTCCCTTCTCTGCAGCTGCATGAGCTCAGCATCCTCCAGTGAATGGAGCTCTGGGCGGCGGCCCTGCCCAGGCCTGGCCTGCTTCTCCTTTTGAGCTGTGGGGTCTTGTGCCCCTTCCCTTCTCTGATCTCGGCCTCCTTGTCTGGAGAAAATCATCAGAAGATTATCGATAAATGGGGAGATTGGGATTGACTTAGACACACTACTATGTATAAAATAGATAACTAATAAGAACCTACGGTATAGGGCTTCCCTGGGGGCACAGTGGTTAAGAATCGCCTGCCAGTGCAGGGGACACGGGTTCGAGCTCTGGTCCGGGAAGATCCCACATGCCGCGGAGCAGCTAAGCCCGTGTGCCACAACTACTGAGCCTGCGCTCTAGAGCCCGCGAGCCACAACTACTGAGCCCACGTGCCACAACTACTGAAGCCCATGTGCCTAGAGCCCGTGCTCCGCAACAAGAGAAGCCACTGCAATGAGAAGCCCGTGCACCGCAACCAAGAGTAGCCCCCGCTCGGCGCAACTGGAGAAAGCCCGCGTGCAGAAACAAAGACCCAACGCAGCCAAAAAAAAGGTAATAATTAATTAATTACTTTTTAAAAAAACCTACTGTGTAGCACAGGGAACTCTAGTTGATACTCTGTAATGACTTATATGGGAAAAAAATCTAAACAAGAGTGGATATATGTATATGTATAACTGATTCACTTTGCTGTACAGCAGAAACTAACACAACACTGTATATTAACTATACTCCAGTAAAAATCAATTTAAAAAAAAAGAGGAAGATTATTGGACCCGCCTCCAGCATAGCTGTGAGTTTGGTTATTCGATCCTGATGGGAAAGCCCTTTGTAAACAGTATGTGAGAAAGTATTAAAGTCATAATTGCATTACACTAAAAAAAAAAAATAGGTCTCACCATCCCGCAACCCGAATGGTTGATCTAGACCATGATTATGAATGGCTGCGGAATCATCAGGTGATGTGCTGACAGCACCGGGACCCCCTAGTCCAAGGCGATGTTGCTAAGAGTGGGATAAGCTGTCCACTCCTGATGGGACATGTAGGAAGTACACATGCGTGGATGCTGGGAGTGACCCCTAGATACAGACCACTCTACTGGTCCCACTCCCATCCCCAGCGCAGTGCCTCCTAAGGGACTCTCTTCAGAGGATACTGCAAAATGTTCCTTGGGGGCAAAACTGAGGACCGCTGCTTGGGATGAAACTGAGTTTATAGGAAATACTGGGGCTAGAGGAGCTTGTTCAACACCACCACAAATGTACAGTCCTCTAAATCCATAATTCAGAAAATTCTACAAGACAAATAACGCAATGTCATCAAATATATCGCGTAGGAAAAACAAACCAAGGGAGAACTATTTCAGACTAAAAGAGACGTAATGACCCATCTACCAAGTGCAGTGTGTTGCTTTTGGAACCTGATTTAGAACCTTAATTCCCCGACCAGGGATCGAACCCGTGCCCCCTGCAGTGGAAGCGCAGAGTTCTAACCATTGGACTGCCAGGGAATTTCCCAGAACCTGATTTGAACAAACTATAAGAAGACATTTTTAGAGATAATTGGGGAATTATAAAACACTGAGGAATTATTGTTAATTTTATAGGTATCTGACGATATTATGATTATGCCTCAAAAAAAAAAAAAAAACCTTACTACTAAAGATGTGCATGGAACAAGCTGAAGTATTTTCATGGGTTCTGATATATCTGAGATACACTCTAAGTGAATCCAGGAAAAATAAAAACAACAAGAATATGGGGTGGTGACAGGAAGAGCAGAATATAACCAGTGTTGAGATGGGTACCTAGGGGATCACTGTACGGTTCACTGTGTATATGTTTGAAATTTTCCACAATAAAAATGGCTCTCGGGCTTCCCTGGTGGCGCAGTGGGCTTCTTCTGCTTCCCTTGGTAGCCCGCTTCTCGGGCTTCCCTTGGTAGCCGCTGTCTACCAAGCACCTGCCGCCCCGCCGGCTACACCACTCCACATTCACTGCTGCACTCGGCTTCACACTGTCCCACGGGGGAGGGAACGCGTTTTAAGCTCTATTTCAGAGACGAGGAAGGTGCAGCTCACAGAGGCGGCTTGCACCGAATAAGCAGCAGAGAAGGTAGTCCGTAGGGAAAGAAGACAAAGGGGACGTCTGAGTGGCTCACATGCCAGTGGCTCTCTCTGGAAGGGAGGGTGGCAGGCACCGTGTATTTTCTTCTGTGGACTCATCTGCATTCACCAAATTTTCCACGGTGGCTATTACTCTCACATGGAGCTAAAGTAAAAGTTTGAAAAAAATAAAATATCATTTTACACGTCTCTATAAACTGAGAAGAGATTGTTTCTGAATCATTTCTTGGTCCTAGCTTTTACCCCATGACCTGGCACGCACGAGATAATTTGGTAAATATTTTAGTAATGATAAAAGATCCTTTTTTTTTTTTTAACCTGTAGAAAGTACCTAGGGTAAAAATCACACCACCAGCCAGTTAACGAACAGGAACCCAAACTACCTGGGCCCTCGCCCCTTCGAGGGCCACTCAGGGTCTCTGCGAAGATGCTTTATATCTTCTGCAAACGGAAGGCCAGACTTTCCCTCTAATATCTTTATTTTTATTTTTATTTTATTTTATTTTATTTTGTGATACGTGGGCCTCTCACTGTTGCAGCCCCTCCCGTTGCGGAGCACAGGCTCTGGACGCGCAGGCTCAGCGGCCATGGTTCACGGACCCAGCCGCTCTGAGGCATGTGGGATCTTCCCGGACCGGGGCATGAACCCGCGTCCCCTGCATCGGCAGGCGGACTCTCAACCACTGCGCCACCAGGGAAGCCCTAATATCTTTTTTTTTTTTTTTTTTTTTTTTTTTTTGCTGCACTGCATGGCACGCAGGATCTTACTTCAACAACCAGGGATCGAACATACGCCCCCTGCAGTGGAAACTCAGTCTTAACCACTGGACCGCCAGGGAAGTCCCTTCCTCTAATATGGAAAACACATAAAAATGCAAGTGCTAATCCCTGTACATCTAAAATCATCCTTGTGAAATTCTAGCTTGTCTCACTCCACACACACGTTAGAGCTCTGTCTGTGCCACACACTCCGTGCCTTGGGTAAACCGCACACCTCCTGATGTGCCCATTTCACAGATGAGGAGACTGAAGTTCAGGCATGTTAAATATGCCGCCCCATTGTCACACTGGGATGGGGTGCCGACCCCAGTCTCCTGGCTTGGGTCTCTTTCCTGACCCCACGTGGTCTCTCTGCATAGGCCTCTGGAGGGGCTCAGGGCGGCTTCTTGGGCCCCTCCTATGTCTCCAATGTAGACATCTGCCGGGAGCCTCGATGGGGCGCTGAGGGAGGCTCTGTGTCTCCCAGAACGTGGGCCCGGCTCAGGGCTCCCTGGCACACCCCCGCTCACCTCCTCTAGGTGGTGCTACGCCTGCCCCTTCCACGCAGAACCCCACCTGCCACTGCAGCCCCGCCTCTCCCCAGGCATGCACCTCCCCACGGGCTCCCAAGAGCCCAGGGAGGTGGCGACGGTCATCCGCATTTTACAGATGAGGAAACCGAGGCTCAGAGAAGGGCAAAGTCAAGACAAGCCAGTGCCAGACGGGTGTCTCCAACCGCCGCCATGTGCTGGGGGAGCAGAGGCGGGCAGAGCAGGGCGGCCCGGCCCTGCATGTCAAGGGCAGTGAGAGGGTGCGAGGCAGTGTGGACCCGAGTGTGCGGATCGCTCTTTCTGGAAGCTCGGCTGCGCAGGTTTGGCAAGAGGTAGCGGCAGCTGGGAGCAGGCCTCGGAAGAGGTTTGTCTCCTTCCGGGACAGGAGGCAGCTGAGCCTTGCATGGGCCCAGGGGAGGAGCTGGAGTTGGGGACTGGCCCTGCATGCGAAGAGGCCCCCAGGGAAGGCGCCCGGAGCCTGGTGGACCCTGGGGGAGTGACCAGCTTTTTCTTTCTCGCCCCTGAAGCCCAAACCCAGCTCTGCTCAGCGCCCCTGGGCAGCCCCAGGCCCATCTTTTCTGGACGTCCTACCCAGGGAGTGGTTGTGCTTGTTGGGTGAAGCCTGGATCTCCCTGGAGGGCTGGGCCCACTGGGATTGGGAATGCCTGGAGGGGGGACCCTGATGCCTGAAACAGCCATCCTCAAACCGTCCTGAGCACTTCCTGTGTGCCAGGGTTAGGCTCACAGCCTAATGGGGAGGCAGGTGGACAGATAATTCTAGAGGCCACTGACCAGGACCTGAGGCTATGTCAAGAGGGCCCAGAGAGGGATCTCCAGGAGAAACCAGAGGCCAGGGTGCTCGGCCTGGTCTCCCTGCGGCTCCAGACAGCACACCTCACCTGTGGCTCTTGGCCGATATCTTGGCCCATTTTAGAGTTTAGGGGCAGCTCTTCCCCCAAGCCCAGCCCCACCCCCGCAGGGCAGGAGGAGGGCTGGACCATCAGGCGGGTGTTGACGCTGAGCGCGTCCCAGGCCAGGCTGCGTGGGGTTGGGAGACCCCTAATCCGGCGGCTGCCACCCCCTTGGAGAATCTGGTTCACCTGCCGCGTGCCCAGCACGGAGGGCCACGGGGATGAGCAAGGGGCTCCCGGGCCTCTCAGGAGGGCGTGGCCAGCTCTGCCAGGTGTGGGAGCTGGGGGTGGCACGTGGCCAAGGGGACCAGGGTTGTGATGGCTGGAGAAGGCAGGAGGGGGTCCAGGCAGAAGGAACAGGACAAGCAAAGGCGGGCTCTGTGCAGCCAGGATTGTGACGTGTCTGGAAAACGCCAGTCTGGATGGGAAGGGGGCGGCGAGGCTGCAAGGTTAGGCTGGGGCCGGATCTGGGAGGGGGTCCTGGAGAGATCGGGGCTGGTGGCCTGGTGGCTGTAGGGGGGTGGGTGCAAATGAAGAGGCAGCAGTTTGGAGGTGGATCCGCCCCTCTCTGTCTACTTGTCACCCTGGCTGCTACGCTGCTCCTCTCGGGCCCACACACCCTCACCTTCACCTCTGCAGGCCTGTCCTTAGGAAGTCCCCCCGCCCAGATTCAAACAAGAACAAAAGCCTTGCAGCCACCTGTCTCCCAGCCATGAGCTCACCCTCCGTGGGAGGGAGTGGGCAGCCAGTGCTCAGAGAATCAGCGCCACCCGGCAGAATCTCAAGGCTTTTCCTGGAGACTTCTGAGACCTTGACGGGCAGAGGTGGACCTCGTTCAGGCGCACCGGGTATCAGCTGGGCATCGGAGCCTGGTGCAGAGAGGGTGCCTACAGTATCTGGGGGTTGGGGGTGGAGTGGCAGCGGGAGGGAAGGTTTCCTGATGGGTGACACTTGGTGTGGGGGGAGGAAGGTCAGCCGGCCTGGGGCTTGTGTGAGGCCCCTCAGGGCAGAGACCCAGGGGTGGGCAGGCTGAGGCCTGCTCCCTCCCCAAAGAGGAGGGGCGGCTGCTCTGGAGGGGGAAGGGCAAGGAGCCGCCAGGGGTGTTTTTGTGAGAGCTAAGAACATCCTCCACTCCAGGTGCAGGGCGGAGGAAGGACAGTGTCTGGACTGGGTGCTGGGACATTTAGGAAGCCAACTTCTGTAGCCAGGAGAGAGCTGGGCCCAACTCCGTGTGTGTGTGTGTCTCAGGAGCTGTTGGTTGGTGGGTGGATGAGTTAGGAGAAAATAGGGGCTGAGGTTTGGCAAGAAGAGGAACATGGAGTGCACCCAAGAAGGTTCCTCTAAGGTGGGCTTAGGATGGAGGAGCAAAGGGAAAGGTTGAAGTCACTAGGTCAGGGCGGGTAGATGCGTCAGGAAGACAGACAACACGTATTAAACCCCTCCCCCACCTGAGGTATGTGGGACACCCCTTCCTCTGAAAGAGGAAACCGAGGCTCAGAGAGGTTAAGTAACTTGCCCAAAGTCACACAGTAAACACCAGAGCTGGGATTCCAGCCCAGATCTGCCTGACGTGAAAGCTCATGTTCTCTACTATCGTCAACTGCTTCTCAGGGGCTGGAAAAAAATGGGGTCTCTTGTGGAGGGGCAGTGGGGAAGCAGGGGTGGGGAGAGTGTGGCATGGGCAGGGCCTCACCCCAGGTGTCCCGTCTGTCACCACCAAACAAGCACCACGCTGTATGCTACCTGGAGCCAGACGGCCTGGTTGCCAATCCTGCCTGTGTCCTTCGCAGCTATGGGGCCGTGGGCACGGAACGTTCCCCCGCGTGAGCCTCAGTTCTTCTCGGCAACACGGGCGACTGCGAGGACGAAGACGGTAGACACACACTGCGCAGGGCTCAGGCAGGCTATGCTCTTCCCCTCTCCTCCGTGTGGGCCCTGACTACCCGCTGGGGACCTGGGGACTGCACAGAGACCAGACAAGATGGTAAGGCATCTGGGAGGTGGCCCAGGGGCTGCTGGAGCCCTGCACGGCCTCGGGTGGGAGTTGGGTAAGAGTCGGGGATGCTGTTCCGAGGGTCAGAGCACCTGGGGTACCATTCTGAGCCACACACCAGAGGGGACTAGGAAGTAGAGGAGAAGGGAATCCCAGGAGGTCCAGGCCGAGGGCAGAGCAGGTGCAAAGGGGAGGACTTGACAGAGTTCGAGGTGCTTCCGGGGAGCCTCACGCGTGGAAGGGGCGGGAGAGTTTCCCGCAGTGGATGATCGGACGTGAGAAGCACCTGCATCCCCTGCCACCTCTGCCCTCTGCACCCATCTCACGTGGCTTCCACGTGAGACCTGATCCCGCAGCTTCTAAATCGGGTTTCGCTTTCTGAGGGTGGCAGCTGCAGAAGGCAACGGGGCGATGCCTTTAAAAAACAAGGCTATTTGGAAAATTCCACTGTGGTGTGCTGTAACGCAGAGCCCCACCCCCACGTGCTTTCTGTGGTTTCTTAGTACCTAGAGCCTTAAGGCCTCCAGCCCTGGGCTCCTCTTAAGCATCAGTGAGCCGCAAGCCACAGGGGGTCCCCTGCACCACACCTCCCCCCCCCCACGCCACCCACCATCGCCAGGTCGTGCATTCCATACTTTGCAGGGTCTGTTGGTTTCATTATAACTTACTTCCTCCAAGCAATTACTTGGGATGCTCTGAGAATTAGTGACCTCTGATTTGGGCACCAGACCCCACTGGTTCAAGTGTCCCCAGTAAAATGGGGCAACAATACAGCATCCTGGGGCTGCTGGGGCAGCTAGAGACGCTGTTACAGACGGTAGAACACACAGACCGTAGTCACAGGGCTCTGTGGTCAGCACTCCCGTCACAGCAAGTGTGTTTGGCTGTGCATTCATTACCTAACCCCCTGGAGCACGCGTGTTCCCACTGACAAAATGGTGACAGGACTTGTCGCGCTTTGATGAGAAGGGACAGGGAGCAGAGCCCTCATCCGACGGCCTCAGGTTACTGTGCCTCTTGAATCTTGTCGGTTACCCATCAGTCAGCATCTTAACACATCTCATTATAAATAGAATAATATTTAAATATTATTATAAATAGAATAATAGTAATATTACTATTATAATATAGTAATAATAATATAATAATAATATTATTACATTATAAATAGAATAATAATATTCCAGGGGAATTCCCTGACGGCCAGTGGCTAGGACTCTGCGCTTCCACTGCAGGGGGCATGGGTTCGACCCCTGGTCAGGGAACTAAGATCCCACAAGCCACGTGGCGTGGCCAAAAAAAAAAAAATTATAAATAGAGCATTCGTTTGTTGCGGGAAATCTAAAAGTTTCAAAATACATAATCAGAAGGTAATCATGTGTGTTCTGATATCATCTGAGTGTTTCTACCCGTTTGTTTCTGTGGATGACATTCCATATTCTATGATTATGTTTTATTTAAAATTCAGTATCATTCTTACAACTTATGCATTTCCTCTTTGCTATAATAAACTACCTGAAGATTTTTTTATTTTATTTTTTAAAATTAATTAATTAATTAAATTTTGGCTGCATTGGGTCTTTGTTGCTGCGTGTGGGTTTTCTCTAGTTGCGGCGAGCAGGGGCTACTCTTCCTTGAGGTGTGCGGGCTTCTCATTGTGGTGGCTTCTCTTGTTGTGGAGCACCGGCTCTAGGCGCGTGGGTTTCAGTAATTGTGGCACGTGGGCTCAGTAGTTGTGGCTCGCGGGCTCTAGAGCACGGGCTCAGTAGTTGTGGCGCACGGGCTTAGCTGCTCCGCGGTATGTGGGATCTTCCCGGACCAGGGTTCAAACCCGTGTTCCCTGCATTGGCAGGCGGATTCTTAACCACTGCGCCACCAGGGAAGCCCTAAAGATTTTTTAAATGGCTGCATAGAAGTCCCTCCAGTTAGTTAAGCTTCCTCCATGATTGGACGTCCACATCATATCCATTTCACTGTTGTAAGTAGCACTGCAGTGAGCATACTTTTACAACAGTCTTTGCCTGACTTTGGGGGTATTTTTTTTTTAATAAGGACAGCTCCCTTCAAGTGCACTATTAGATGAAAAGGATTCAGTGTGTTATAATTTTCTCTTTTGCTGGAGCCATGCCTTCTCCCTTTTATAAATGTGCTGTAATACTTCTAGGAGTTCCACCTCCCTGAATTCACTGATTTTCACCTCTGCAGGTAAGAAACAGGTAACTGCCCTTGTTAAAACTGAGTAGAATACGAGTTGATGGTCTGGTTGTGAGGGTCTGATGCTGCTTCTTTGCCGCAAACTGCAGAGGTTCGTGGTGACTACTCTGGTTGTTATGACACTTTTCCGTCTCCGTGTCTCTGGCCATCTTCTCTGGGCCTGAGGTTGCTGGAAGGCTTACCTCCAGCTACCTGGGCTACTTTTGACTTTGTTTTTTTTTCCTCCTCTTGATCAATTTTCAGAAGCAACAAGGCAAACCCAAGTTCCAGGCTTTGTGTCCTAAAAACGAGAACGTTCATCTCCACAGTGAATTCCTTTATTCCAAGGAATGAAGACAGAAAAGATGGGCTTTCCTGGATTTCTGAAAGCCCTTGGGCCAGCGGAAAGCTCCTTGGAAATATATGATGGTTGCTCAATCTGCCTCTGCCTGGTGGGGACGGCCCGCTGACACTCACAAGTGAAGTGTGACCACCGCCGCCAGTACTTTCATTCCCACCCTGGGCCCCCGGTGGCCCTGAACAGAAGCTGGGGGCAAGGAGGGTGGGAGGGAGGATGGCGAGTGGGCGGGAGCTTTTGGACAGTGGGGGGCAAGCTGTGAGGGCCAAGCTGAGCGGCCTCACCTCACCGCGCCTGCTTCCCCACCTGTAAAGCAGGAGTCAACATGCCAGTAGGTGTGGTGATGGGGTGAAACAGCCAGCACAGCATGGGGCACCTGGGAGGGCTCACGCGAGTGCAGGTATGACAAAGGTTTATTCACGCAGTCAACAAATATTTAAGGAGCTCACATTCCCGGGGCTGGGGAAGAGTCGGGGGCAAAATATGCATTTGGGAGGCTAGAACCCCACATCTCCCGAGAAGAGGTGCACAGGGGCTTGGTGGGGCAGAGCCTGCTGGCCAGGGTCCTGTGCCCACCCCCTTCCCCACCTGACCTCGGGCCCCTCCCCACGTCTGTCTCTGGGCCTCACTTTCCCCACTGAATAATGAGAGGGGTGGGCTTGAGGACTCTAGAGGGTCCCGCCAGCTCCGACACCCTGCTGGTGACCCTTCTGGGGTCTGCCCCTGGTGAGTTCCTATTGTCCTGGTGAGGGGATGTGAGTGCATTTGCGAGGTGCCACGTCTGTCTGCCCCTCGAGACGGGGGCTCCGTGGGCGCAGGAACTGTGGGCTATTAGTCACTCTGCTGTTCCCGCCCAGGGCGCCGGCACACAGTGGGCTCAGGGCTGCCTTCCATGGGACTCGGTCACCCTGGGAAGGGCTTCCCACTCCTGCTTGGTGAGCTTGGGGAAGGCTCACAGGTCAGGCTTGAAGAAGTCCCTCCGTGGGGTCCCTGGAGAATCTTAGCATCTCTCCTCACCTTGGCGGGTTGACTTTCTCTACATTATATTGCTAGGAAGAGCTCCCTCAAATATGCCAGAAACTGACAAAACCAGACAGCTGGGTTTTTTCTTTTCTTTTTTGGTCGTGCCGTGTGGCTTGTGGGATCTCAGTTCCCGGACCAGGGATTGAACCCCAGGCCCTCGGCAGTGAAAGCGCGGAGTCCTAACCACTGGACCACCAGGGAATTCCCCAGACAGTTGTTTTACATTTAATCCTCACACAGTTCGGGAGGCGGAGATGCTCAGAGCCTTGTTGAGATGGGGAAAGTTGGGGAAGGGAAGGGAGGGAAGGTTTCAGGGCTGATCCAGGCCAGGCCACCACCCACCAGTCCTGTGCCTGGAACTGAGGTGAGGCAGCTGCAGGCCTGGTGCTTCTCTACATCAAGCGGCAGCTTTACAGCCCCCAAAGGAGCGACCAGGTGAGAATCAGTTTGGGACCCTGGCGGTTAGGTCTGCACAGGGGAGCCGGGATGGCTTCCCCCAGGCAGGCAGCAGTGAGCCAGCAGAGGGGGACACGGCACTGACCACCCTGATACAGTTCTCATCTCCATATCAGAGACGGGGGCTGGGAGGTGCTGAGGTTCTGAGAGGTGACGTGAGTGCCCACTGCCACGCAGCTAATCTTGTTCACTGTATTTTTAATTTTGTTAGGCTGAAGTTGCAATGAGGATTCATCTAGAACACTCCTGGGTGCTGATGACAAGGGGTAAGAAATAGGTCAAATCACACTGAGGGTGTTAAGTGACAGATGGGCTCCAGTGGGGAGCTCTGGGCTGCGGCAGGGGGAGGGGCGGGAGCCAGGGAGGCAGCAGGGTGGTGAGAGGGTGAGGAGAAGGCAGACAGAGGGCGCCAAATGCAAACCCACGGACCACAAACTTCCTCGGTTCTGGATGTAGAACAATGGTTCCTGTCATTGTGGGGTTTTAAAACCCTAAGACTGACAATGAGGGCTCCAAGGGATTTGGGGAGTCGCAAAGAACACCGTAAATGCAGATTTATTAATCTGATGTATTAAATTGCTAATTAAGTCAGGCCTGAAGCAAGTCTGTACTTTCCTGTTTCCTTAAAATAAGCTCAGGGGGGCACACTGGGGGGGCGGGGCTTGAAAGAGACCTGCTATTAGTTTTCCTTAAGACATCCAGAAATGTAAGCATTTATAAAGCCTCCATTATGCTCTAAGCATAACAGAAGCACTGTGAAGGGTGTTAGTGTATTCTATTAACACATTTCCTTTGTAAAGTTCTCATCCCTCCTGCTATCATAATAGGCGCTAAGAGTTATTAGAGCCACGACCCAGGCAGGAGAAACAAGTCAGGGGCTCTTCGGCCCAACGCTAATGACCACAGCCCAAATTAATCTTCCATTGCATGCTTCCAGACGCTGTGATGGAGAGATCACCCTTCCTGTCCCCGACGGCCCTGCTAGATGTAGCTGGCTGTCTCTCTGAGGTTTCCTCTGTGGTAGCTCTGGCCGTGACAGCCCTCAGGGGTCCTGGTTGGCAGGAGCCAATCCTAGCTTGGAACCCAGGCCTTCCAGCTCCCAACCACTGGAGTCTTTCCTCTTGCCTTGATGCCCTCAGAACATAATCTTTCAGGCTCAGGGAACATACCAATAAACAAGATAAGCCCGGTTTGGCTCAGGGAGCCTACATTCTAGGAGGGGGATGAGGTAGGGGTCAACAACGAGCGAACAAGACCTTTCTTATTCAGGGCCTTCCATGATGCTGGAAGGCGGTCTGGGGCGGGGCATCTGGTTTCTGACCCCTCTCAGCTACTGACCAGCCGTGAACCTTGGGTAAGTGACTTCATCTCCCACTCTGTACGACGGTTTTGATCACAGACCTTGTCTCTGGAGGTTCTGCAATATTGACAGGAAGTAATGCACATGAACGCTAGGCCAGCGGCTCCTAAACTTGTCTGCACATTACACAGCTTCCCAAACTGTACCTTACCTCCAGAGACTGATTCAGTTGGCCTGGGGCGTGGCCTGGGCTTTGAAATTTTCAAAGATCCCCAGGAGATGCTGAAGTGCAGACAAGTCTGGGGAGGCACGGCGCTATGCATTGCGTAACCGCTCGATAAAAGACAACTAACAGAAAAGCCCGTTCTACAGATTAAGAGACCAAGGCCCGGCAGGGAAGACCTCAAAGCGACCTTCCCGAGGCTGTACGTCCCGGGCCCGAGCTCGGATCTTGCCCACCTGGTCTCTCGCAGGCGGCCAGGTGGGGTCCGGGCTCTTCCTCCCCCGCACACCTGCTCGGGGGCAGGGGCGCCCATCGATGCGCTCCGCTGCTCGGCTCCCCACGCCTGGTCGCTGCCCGCTCGTGCCCCTTCCCCCTCCCGGGCGCTTCCCACTTCCAAGATGGCCGCGGGTGGAGCCGACCAGGTAAGGAAGCCCCTGATGGGTGTTCACGGGGGGTCTTAGGGCATGAAAATCCCCTCAGGCCTCCCCACAGGCTCCTCTTGCCCTTCGGGAGAGAAAAGGTCCGGCAACGCCGCTCCGAAGCCCGTGGCGGGCGGGCGAGCGGGCCGGAGGAGGGGCAGCAGGACGAGCGTCGAGCTCGAGGAGCGGCGGCAGCCCGGCTGGGCGCGGCAGCCCGGGCGGAAGAGCAGCCTGCGCAGGCAGGGGGCGGGGCGGGGCGAGGGCGCGCGGG